TGGGGGGGAAATAAGGAACACTGTTTTGGCTGCCCCATTACAGAAACCTGCTGTCAATTTTGGCCTCCCATCTTTACAGGGAAAAAAACAAAAGGGAAAAGGGAAAAAGAAGGGAAAAAAGGAGGGCAAAGGAAGAAAGAAACAGAAAAAAAAAAGGGGAAGAAAAAACTTCTCTCTTTTTCTCTCTCTCTCTCTTCTCTTCTCTCTCTCTCTCTCTCTTTCCTCCTCCTCTGATTCCCTCCCACGGTACCACTGGTAGGGGGGAATATCTAGGTCATCAAGGTCTCCTTTGGACCCCACTGTACTGGGGGAAAAAAACTGTTATTTTTGAATACACACATGCAATTCAGGTGTGGGGTGTGGTGGTGTGTGTGTGTGGGGTGGGTTGTGTGTGTGTGTGGGGTGTGGTTAGGTAAAGATAGATTGAAGGAATATGAATTGGTCTTTGCCCCAGGTATGGATCAAGTCAGATTCGACATCCATCCATGTCTGAGGATGTCGGGGATGAGGGAAAAATCCCTTAAACATTCAGAGTTAATGCCTAACCCTTAAAATTTTGGAGTTAATGCCTAAAAATTTACCCTAACCTTTAAAAATTCAAATTTTAGTTGAGAAACAGTAGAAGGGGAATCCCCCCCCCCTCCTCCACCCCTCGCCCCCACACCAGACGACCCCCTTTCCCCCTTTTTTCCTGCCCAAAAACCCCCCGCGGGGGCCCCGCACCAACGGGAGGGCCCCGACCGCCGGACGAGAGCCGCGCCCCGGGGAAGGGCCCCGGAGAGCCGCCGGCCGCCCCCACAGCCCGCCGGACGAGGGCCCCCGCGCCGCGCGACGAGCCCCCGGCCGCCGGGGCGCCGCGCCGCGGAGGCCCCCGCGACGAGCCGGGCCCGCCGCCGGGGGGGGGGGGACGGCCGCCCCGGGGAGGGGGGGCCGCCCCCCGCGCGACGAGCCGGAAAGGGGGCCGAAGAGCCCCCCGGGGGGCCCCCCGGGGGGAGCCCCCGGCCCCGGGGGGGCGGGCGAGCCGGCGGGTTTAAAATTAAAGGTGGGGGGCCCCTTTTTTGGGGGGAAGGGGGCCCTTTTTTAAAAAATTTTTTTAAAGGGGGGTTGGGGGAAAAACCCCCTTAAAAAAAAATTTTTTTTGGGGGGGGAAAAACCCCCCCCTTTTCCCAAAATTTTTTAAAAAATTTAAAAACCCCCCTTCCCCCTTAAAACCCCCCCCCCCCCCAAAACCCCCCCCCCCCAACCCCCCCCCCCAAAACCCCCCCCCCCCCCCCCCCCCCCCCCCCCCCCCCCCCCCCAAAAACCCCCCCCCCCCCCCACCCCCCCCCAAACAACCCCCCCCAAACCCCCCCCCCCCCCAAAAAAACCCCCCCCCAAAAAAAAAAAAATTTTAAAAAAAAAAAAACCCCCCCCCCCCTTTTTTTTTTTCCCCAAAAAAAAAAGGGGGGGGGGGGAAAAAAAAAAAAAAATTTTTATTTAAAAATTTAAAAAACCCCCCAAAAAAAAAAAAAAAAAAAACCCAAAAAAACCCGGCCAAACCCCCCCCCAAAACCCCAAAAAAACCCCCCCCCAAAAACCCCCCCCAAAAAAACCCCCCCCCCCCCAAAACCCCAACCCCAAAAACCCCCCCCCCCCCCCCCCCCCCAAAAAAACCCCCCCCCCCCCCTTTTTAAAACCCCCCCCCCCCCCCCCCCCCCCCCCGGGGCCCCCCCCCAAAAACCCCAAAAGGGGGGAAAAAACCCCCCCCCCCCCCCCAAAAAAAAACCCCCAAAAAAAAGGGGGGGGAAAAAACCCCCCCCCCCCCCCCCCAAAAAAAAAAAAAAAAAACCCCCCCAAAAAAAAAAACCCCCCCCCCCCCGGAAAAAAAAAAAAAACCCCCCCTTAAAAAAAAAAAAAAAAAAAACCCCCCCTTTTTTTGGGGCAAAAACCCCCCAAAAACCCCCCCCCCCCCCCAAAAAAAACCCCCCCCTTTTTTTTTCCCCCCCCCTTTCTCCCCCTTTTTCCCCCCCCCTTTTTAAAAATTCCTCCCCCCTTTTCCCTCCCCCCCCTTTCCCCTTTCCCCCTACTATTGGAGGGAAAATATTGGGGGGGGGGGGGTTTTCGCATGTCTGTTGTCTCACTGGATTGATAGAAAGAGATCTTAGGGGAAAGGGGGGAATGCCAAAAGCAAAAAATTTTCCTCCACGCCAAATATTTTTTACCCCATGTGTGGAAAAATGATTTAAACACAAGGAAAGTGGGGATTTGAGAGTGGAAAGGGGAGAGAGAGAGAGAGGGGGGAGGGGAGGGGGAGAGGGGGGAGAGAAAGGGGGGGTAAAGAGAGAGGGGGAACGGAAGAAAAGAGAGGAGGGAGAAAGAGAGAGGGGAAAAGAGAGGGAGAAGAAAGGAGGGAGAGGAGGGGGGGGGGAGGGAGAGGGGGAGAGAGAGGGAGATAAAGAGAGAGTGGGAAACGGAGAGAGAGAGAGAGGGAGAAAGAGAGAGAGGGAAAGAGAGAGGGAGAGAGAGAGAGGGAGAGGGGGAGGGGGAGGGAGAGGGGGAGAGAGAGGGAGATAAAGTGAGAGAGGGAAACAGAGAGGGAGAGAGAGGGGAGAGGGGTAGAGAGAGGGAGAGGAGAGAGAGAGAGAGAGTGAGTGAGAGAGAGAGAGAGAGAGAGAGAGAGAGAGAGAGAGAGAGAGAGGGTTGATCCTGTATATTTTACAGCCTGCTCTGCTACCATCTGGTGCTTGTGACACATACACACACAGACATATAGACACACACACACGCATGCGCGCACACACACACACTCTCTTTCCCACTGCATGAGCGTGGGTAGACAACCTGGAGCTTGTGGTAGAGTAACAGGAACAGTGCTGTGGATAGTGGGTCACCGTGAAGAATAAGGAACCACAACAAACGACAGGAAAACGTCCACAAACGTCTATAGCGGTCTGAATCGGATGAGAGAGAGGCAGGGTGGGGGACGGGCGCGGCATGGGACCCTACCTTCCGTGAACTTTGAACCCTGACCTCTGAACCACCATGGTGGGGGAAACACAGAACATGCTAGAAACTCTGTACCTGTCAGTGTGCCTTCAGAGAGGACCCAACTCACCCCCGGAATCATCAACACATCTAGAAGAACGAGACCAGGTTAGTCAGAGAGAGGTGGGGAACGAGGGATGGGCGAAGAAGGAGAGAGAGTGTGAGAAAGAGAAATAGGGGTGAAGTAAGAGCAGAAGGATGAAGGTGATAGTGCTGGGTCCAGTTCATACTTTAGTCTTTTCAACTTATTCTGAGTCCAGTGTGAGCTCTTGATACAGTTGATAAAGGATTCAGGATTCTAGGATTCAGTTGGGGATTTTGTAAACAGTCGATCCCCTATTTTCAAACCCCAAATCCAAAAGATCTGTGCCACAAATCATTGGAATACAAATAGAGCCACTCTGGTGAAGTAAAACTCTGGTGAAGAAAAACCAACTACATCTACACCAGGAAGAAAAAAACTCAAATGTTGCCCTTCTCTTCCCAAACCCTTGTGTCAACCAGAAAAGATAGCTATAGATTCTGAAACCTACCCAGTCACAAGGGCTATACCTCTACTGTACATACCTTTACTCAACCATTCTCTCACTCTGTCAACATCTTTACAGTTTCAGTTACAGCTGTGAGGAAATGGTTTCCAAGCAACAGAAAAATAACAAGCTTGAGGTGACAGATTTAATAAACGAAAAACAGTCCAGATATTCAACCGGTGAGTAAAACTCTCAAAGCATAGATACACTATAAACAAACTAAAGATAAACTATAGAAAAACGAAACGGAGAAAGAAACCAAATGGAAATGAGGGGACTTATTGTACAGGTCTGTACAGACACAGGTGCGTGTGAGAGTAAGCGCAAGAGGGTGGGAGTGAAGGAGTGAGAGAGTGTGAGAGAGAGAGACTGTGTGTGTTCGGTCTGTGTGAGCGACTGAATGTGTGTGAGAGGGTGGGAGTGAAGGAGTGAGAGAGTGTGAGAGAGAGAGACTGTGTGTGTTCGGTCTGTGTGAGCGACTGAATGTGTGTGAGTGCATGGGAGCGCCAATGGTGACCAATTTGGGCACACCACATCTGCAAGAGAAGATCGACATCCATCTGTATTTCTCAAGAGTTGAATGAAAGCATTCCCACTGTCAACTACCATCAACATTTGATTACAAAATATCAAAATGATCTTTCTTTTATCCACCAAAGTAGCACTAAAGCCAATACGGCTACTGAAATAACCACTCTTTCTCATGTCCAATGTTTGGGGTTCGAAGGCAGTGGAATCACTACAGAGAGAGGCGAAGTCGGGCGTCTGGTAACCCGTTCCTGTACAGCTGGAGGGGCGGTGGGGACAGATCTAGAATCAGCTGACCTTCGTATAACCCTAACCCTTACTATATGGAGGAAGCCATTAAAATCAGACCCTAGATCAGCATCTAGGTACTTCCTCGTTTGGTTTGTAGTTCTACCTACCCCTCCGGCTGTACTACAACTACATGCAGGAAAGGAGTGGGGAGACAGAAGGGGGCATTACCTTGCCCTCACCCCCCCCCCCTTTCTCTGGAAGTTCCACATCATGCAAGCCCCGCCCACCACTACTCGAAGGGGGCGGTCATAAGTATGCCCTCTACAATAGGCCAGGCAGGAAGTCTATTCTACTAGACCAGCGCGCACCAACTCCGATCCTGGAGAGAGACTCGGTGTGTGTGGGCTTTTGTTCCAGCAAAGCACTAACACACCTGATTCCACTTATCCAGGTTTTACAATTACTGGTGGGCTGGAACCAAAGCCGCTCTCCAGGACCAGAATGGGTGACCACTGAACACCACTAGCGGGGAAACTGCAGGGAGGAAATATGGGAAGAAAGAAATGGGACTTCTACAGCAAAATAGCAACTACTTCAGGTCTAGCGCGTTCCCTCGATCGCTTGGCTTTGGTCAAATCAAACCCAAACAAGCTCAAACCAGGCAGGACTCAGAAAGACGTGGAAAGACTACCGACCAGCCATCTCCTTCTCCTTACTCCGTCTCTTTTTCTCCATCCGTTTCAGTCTCTTCTCCTCCCTGCGTTTGGCCTCCTCGGCCTCCTGGCTGCGCCGGCACTTGTGGAAGTTCTCCACCACCACGCCCACGAACATGTTGAGCACGAAGAAGCTGACGATGAGCAGGAAGGAGATGAAGTAGAGGAGCATCCATGGGTTGTGGTTCAGCTGCGGCTGGAGGGGACACACACGTTACGAGCATTGTGGTGCCGTTCTAACTGCAAACGCTGCACGCTGTGTGTATATTTTCAGAGTGTGTTTGCCTCTATCCACATAGAGAAGAACACACTACCAGCTGCATATTGTGAGTGGCAGGACACCGTCGTACACCTACCTATCCTGCTGCTACAGTCAACACTATAAATTATAGAAATGAATGCATAAATACATACATGAATAAGTGTATCAGGAAAGCTAAATAAATAAATAAATAGACACAGTACTGTGGGCTATGCAGGGCATGTGGAAGAAACGAGAGGAGGGTTGAATGTTTGTTGGATGTTTGACAGTAAGCAGCTTAGAGATCAATGACAAGTTCCTAAAGCACAGACAGGAATGCTGACATAAAAATCAAGACTTCTCTGCCTCTGGCCAACCAAGCCTTTGTTCTACAGCTGCCACTGTATCGCTAGTGAACACAGTGTGTGTGTGTGTGTGTGTGTGTGTGGGTGTGTGTGTGTGTGTGTGTGTGTGTGTGTGTCTATGTACATATTTTCCTACCTTATCAAGACCAGAATGTCCTGGTAGGAAAACAAGATGTTTTCATATTTTTAAGTCTGGACTTTTTTCATGTCCTGAATTTGTAGAAATGCTATTTAAGGTTAGGGTTAGGGGTTTGGGTTTGGGGTTAGGATTAGGTTTAGGATTAGGGTAAGGGTTAGGTGTTAGGGAAAAAAATATTTTGAATGGGAATACATTTTTACCCGCCAAAAAGTCCTGAACTGTGTGTGTGTGTGTACATGTGTGAGAGTACAAACAAAAGGGGAATGTTGTGTTTATTTAATTAAAATAGCTCCAAAATAAAATGTTTTATCGTTTATTTCCCTGAGCTCCTTTGGCTGAGTCTGATCGTGTGGGCGTTAGGAAACACATTTGAAGATATTTACATACACAGCCATGATTGGCAGATAGGATGGTCTAGAGCCCACCCCTTACCCAGATGAATGGTCATTGGTCTATTATAATCAGATCACATTGTGACATCATGCTGTGGGTAAAAATTTCCATCCCACCTGAACAGGTTGAAATTCCAGGATTTCTTTTTAAACAGCTCTTACACAAAAAAGGCATTATCATAATTTTCACTATTTCAGAGTGTTATTTCAACCTCCTAGTGTGGAAATATCTTCTTTTTTTTATTGAAGATCACATGTTTTACTACATTGCCCCTTTAAGACAAATGTAGCACTTTTTCATCTCTAGAATGTCTTACCTTCTGCAAGAACAGTTAGATGGTTTCTTTGAACCTGTGTATATACATTTGAAGTTGGAAGTTTACATACACCTTAGCCAAATACATTTAAACTCAGTTTTTCACAATTCCTGACATTTAATCCTAGTAAAAATTCCCTGTCTTAGGTCAGTTAGGATCAGCACTTTATATTAAGAATGTGAAATGTCAGAATAATAGTAGAGATAATTATTTATTTAAGCTTTTATTTCTTTCATCACATTCCCAGTGGGTGAGAAGTTTACATACATTCAATTAGTATTTGGTAGCATTGCCTTTAAATTGTTTAACTTGGGTCAAATATTTTGGGTAGCCTTCCACAAGCTTCCCACAATAAGTTGGGTGAATTTTAGCCCATTCCTCCTGACAGAGCTGGTGTAACTGAGTTAGGTTTATAGGCCTCCTTGCTCGCACACGCTTTTTCAGTTCTGGCCACAAATGTTCTATAGGATTGAGGTCAGGGCTTTGTGATGGCCACTCCAATACCTTAACTTTGTTGTCCTTAAGCCATTTTGCCACAACTTTGGAAGTATGCTTGGGGTCATTGTCCATTTATAAGACCCATTTGCGACCAAGCTTTAACTTCCTGACTGATGTCTTGAGCTTCAATATATCCACATAATTTTCCTTCCTCATGATGCCTCTATTTTGTGAAGTGCACCAGTCCCTCCTGCAGCAAAGCACCCCCACAGCATGATGCTTCCACCCCAGTGCTTGACGGTTGGGATGGTGTTCTTCGGCTTGCAAGCACACCCTTTTTCCTCCAAACATAACGATGGTCATTATGGCCAAACAGTTCTATTTTTGTTTAATCAGACGAGAGGACATTTCTCCAAAAAGTATGATCTTTGTCTCCATGTGCAGTTGCAAACCGTAGTCTTGCTTTTTTATGGCGGTTTTGGAGCAGTGGCTTCTTCCTTGCTGAGCGGCCTTTCAGGTTATGTCGATATAGGACTCGTTTTACTGTGGATATAGATACTTTTGTACCTGTTTCCTGCAGCGTCTTCACGACGTCCTTTGCTGTTGTTCTGGGATTGATTTGCACTTTTCGCACCAAAGTAAGTTCATCTCTAGGAGACAGAACGTGTCTCCTTCCTGAGCGGTATGATGGCTGCGTGGTCCCATGGTGTTTATACTTGCGTACTATTGTTTGTACAGATGAACGTGGTACCTTCAGGCGTTTGGAAATTGCTCCCAAGGATGAACCAGACTTGTGGAGGTCTACAATTTTTATTCTGAGGTCTTGGCTGATTTCTTTTGATTTTCCCATGATGTCAAGCAAAGAGGCACTGAGTTTGAAGGTAGGCCTTGAAATACATCCACAGGTAAACCTCCAATTGACTGAAATGATGTCAATTAGCCTATCAAAAGCTTCTAAAGCCATGACATCATTTTCTGGAATTTTCCAAGCTGTTTAAAGGCACAGTCAACTTAGTGTATGTAAATTCTGACCCACTGGAATTGGTGATGCAGTGAATGATAAGGTAAATAATCGGGCTGGTAAACAATTGTTGGAACAATTACTTGTGGGGTCATGCACAAAAGTAGATGTCCTAACCGACTTGCCAAAAAACTATAGTTTGTTAACAAGAAATGTGTGGGAGTGGTTGAGAAAGAAACAATTTATCTAATGACTCCAAACCTTAAAATGGAGGGAAAAAATTCCCAATTTCCTGTAAAAAATTTTTTTGGTTTTTTGGGGGGTTTTTGTATAAAAATTTTTTGGGGGAAATCCCACTTGGGGAAACTAACCCCTAAAAAATGAATCCAAAACCCCAACCCTCCCTTTGAGGGGCCCCCGCCCCCAAAAAAAAGGAAAACATCAAAAGGGCCCGGAAGAAAAGGAGAAAAAAACATACTTTTTACGTCATTTTTGGGAAAATCTTTATCCCCAGCAATTAGGGGTTAAAAGGGGTTGCTCAAACGTACACAAAAAAAATTTGTTTAAACCCTTTTGGGGGCGGGAATTTGAACCCGCAAAACCCTTTTATTTCTGGGCAATGCTTTTTAAAACCCCTAAGGGTACCTATGTAGCCCTCGGTCCCCAAAAAAAGGTTTTCCCCGAAGGCATTTTAAAAAAAAAAGAAAAATTGGAGTTCCAACCCCCTGCAAATATTGAGAATGGTACCTGTGCCGGTTTTTAAATTGGGGAATTCACCTGTGGGGCCCGGTTTTATTGAGGGAAAGCCCACCTGTGCCCCGGTTGTTTGAGAATTGGGGTAAACCCGTGCCAGGTTTTATTTAGAATGCTACCGGGCCCGGTTTTTTTTATAAATGCCACCTGTGCCAGGTTGGGCCCAAAATTGGGACTGCGTTGGCCCAATTTTTTGGGCCAATCATGGGAGTCCTTTACTTTTTAGTGGGCGTTTCTCACGGCCCCTCCCCCGAACCCCGCAAAAAACTTCCCCTTTAAGGGGCGGGGAGAGAAAACACCCCCCCCCACACACACAAAAAAGACAAAAGGGGCCCCCCGTGGTCCAAAACTAAATGGCCCCCTTTATGGTAAATTTCCCAATTTCTCTTCGGGGGGCCTTAAAACCCCTTTAGAGGATTCCCTTGGGGACCCCTTTCATTTTTCCTTTCGGATTGGTAGGGATGTTCTCATGCACACCCACAGGTTTAATATTTTTTTGACCCCAAGGAAAAAAATGATCGGTTTGGTAAATTTGGGAAAACGGGCTAAAAAAAAAACCAAAAAAAAAAAAGGTTCTTTTTTCCATTTAATTTTTGGGCTTGAAAAAGAAAGGGCCCCCCCGGGGCCCTCACAACCCAAGTTTTTAAAGGTGGGGGGAAAAAAGCCTTTGGAAAAAGCAATTTTGGGAGTAAGAACCTAAAAAAGGGGCGCAGGGGGGGTGAATGGGGAAAAAAAGGGCGCTTCGGGTAATTTACAATTTTTGGGCCCCCCCGGGCAGTTTCCCGTGTTTTCACTCTCAGACGAGAAAGGATGTAAAAAAAGAGGAAAAACCGGAATTTAAAGCCAAAAAAAATTCCCCAAAGGGGGTTTATTTTAAGGGTTTTTGAAAAACCCCCGGCCCTTTGGGGAAAAAAATTAAAAACAAGAAAAAAATTTCCCTATCTTGGGGGGCGGTTGTAATTTGGGTTTTGTGGGGGGGGAAAAAAAAAAGTTAAAAAAAAATAAAATGCCCCAGGGGCCCCCTTTTTTTGGGGGGAAATTTTGGGTTTTGGGGGGGGGGGAAAAAAAATAAAAAATTCCCATCCTCAAAACCCCGGGGGGGAAAAACCCCAAAAAAGGGGTAAACCCAAAGATTAAAAAAAAGAAAAGGGGGGGGCAAAAAAACGGGTTGGGGGCCACAAAATTGGGGGGCCCAAAAGGGCCCTTCCAAAAAAAAAAAGACGGGGGGGGGCACAAAAAGGTCCCCCAAAAAAAAAACCAAAAAAAATTTTAAAAACCTGGGGGGCTTCCTTGGGGGGTGGGGGGGCACCTGGGGAACAAAAAAGAAAAACAAAAAAACAAAAAAAAAAAAAAACCCAAAAAAAATGTTAAAAACCGGGAAGGAACTGAAAGGGGAAAGAGGGCCCTAAGGAAAGAAAGGGGGGGAGAGAAAAAGGGGGGGGAGAGAGAGAAGAAAAGAGGGGGAAGGGGGAAGGGGGAAAAGGGGAGAAGGAGAGAGGAGAGAGAGAGAGGGGAGAGGAAGGAAAAAAGAGGGGAGGAAAAAAAAGAAGGGGGGGAGAGAGATGGACAGGGGCAAAAGGGGTTTTAGGTTGTTTAAAGGGCAATTTTCAGAGGGAAACCCGCCCAAAATGGAGACGCCGGGGTTCTGCGGGGAGAGAGCGAAATTCTTACGGCCCCATAAACCCTCGAGTTCTAGGGGTTGGGGGGTGGAGGGAGG